TGGATTGTCCTCTTGTATTCGAAGTACGATCTAGTTTCTGGGTTTTCTACAGGATTCTTCCTACGGGAATTTTGAACTGCTTGTTCTTCGGAAATAGGGTCTTGGATGATCTCGAAGAAGTATCAGGAATTCTCGGAATAGGTTGTAGGATGATTTTCTTTTTATTTTAATATCGTAAGTTGATTTGACTTTAAAAAAATTATCTTAAAATTTTGAGGTTATCTCTTAAAATTCAAAATTTCTTCTATCTGACGACGTGGATTCGACGCTGGTCAGACGACGACTCTCTCGTGCTCTGTTCGCGATCTCCTTATATACCCCGGCACTCCAACTGTTTTTTCCTCGTTTCTGATTGGCTCATAGCTTCGCGCCCTTTTCAAAATTCAAATTTCTTGCTTCGAAACTAGCGTCATCTCTTGATTTTTCTCGGAATTAACCTTCAAAATTTAATTCTTTTTTCGTTGATTTCTCCCTTATTCCTTTATAAAACGTAATAAAACTTCGTATTCAAAGTTGTCTTTCCTTGTTTTCAGACATACATTGGAGTACACGTCAAATTTCAACAATGAGTAAAGTTAGAAAAATTCAAATTTAAATCAAGGATTTCTTCCTCAAAATAACGTTAAAACATTAAGGAATGGATGAAAAATGTGCTTTAGGAGCTGAACTATAATAATTGATACTTTTGGAAACAAACAAAACGGTTTAAGATAAGATTTTTACCAACAAAGAATCTCTCTGTCACAATTTTAAGGTTATGTTCTCTCGGTGAACTAAGAGATGTTAAAATTTATCACAATATCTACTTGGTGGTCAATCCACTTTGCTATTCGTAATGGCGAAGTTTCTTGATATTAGCGTTGAAGAGAAATTCTCATGAAGTTTTCCATTTTATATCCAATGAAGTAGCCCTCGTCCCTTTTATGTACCTTGTAGCGTCTGTAAATAAAATTTGATTTTTGTGCAAATTCAAGAAACCCTAATTTTAGGGTTCCACTGTATCCTTTGTTGTAGATTTTACTTAGTTTCTTCATTGATTTTAATTTTGACACAAACTGAATATTGTCATAAACACATATATCATTAATTTTGCAACTGAAACTATGTACAATTCAATTTTCAAACACAGCAAATATATTTTGTAACTTCGACATGCAGTTTTCGCTTTCCCCAGCAAAGTTATTCATGTCGAACTATACCTAACAAAAAAAATTACCTACTAAATGGACTTGAATTAAGGTTCTATACATTATTTTAAACAACTTTAATAAATACATTTAAATTTTTATAATTACAACATAATTAAAACAATTTGAATTTGTTTAAATAAATAATGATGTTAGTGTAGAATCTTGATCGAAAGCCAGAAAATATGTTTTATTTTTTACAATTCTAATAAGCACTCTATTTTTTAAACTATTAATTTGAATAATGATTAATAAATGAAATATCAATTTTTAAACATTCCGTAATAAATAAAATATGAATTTTTAAACAAAATGAAATATGAATTTTGAACGGTTAGAATACGTAGAATTTCGCATAATCGATTGTGCGTTTTTATGCGACACGTGAAACATTGCATGTCTTATTAATTTTCTCAATTGACGGTATTATATAACATCACTTCACTTTTGCAAATTCATTTTTCAATTTCTTTCGTATTGCATTAAGCATCCGAATAAAAAGTAGCTTTTATAATGCTAACATTTCTCCTCGTTTTAATTTCATTTCAACAAATTACTTGTAAAAATATTTTATATGTTGATTTGGTTCCATCACCAAGCCATCATGGATGGAATGAAGTTCTAATTGAAGGCTTATTAAGTAGAAACCATAATGTTACAATGATTGGATATTATGATTCAAAAATAAAACATCCCAATTATGAAGTTTTACAAATCGATAGTAAGTTAAGATAAATTAAAAATTATGTTAAATTTAAACACTTCTTTTTGTGTATAGTTAAACCATTTACTCACAGTGTTGATGCAGCATTCCAACAAATGTCAGCTTCTGGTTCTGCAAGTATAAAAGGAACATTGGGTTTAGCAGCATATGCAGAAAATAGCTGTAAATATTGTTTAAAAACCCAGCAATTTAAGCATCTTTTATATTATCCCAAAGATTCATTTGATATGATAATTTTCGATGTAATATACGCTGAATGTTATTTACCCTTAATAGATCATTTTGGATTACCCCCAGTTGTTGCTGTTACCGCTTTTGGAATGTATTCTTACATTAATGATGTTATGGGGCAAACAACCGAAAGTTATATTCCATATTTCGCTTTACCATACACAGATCATATGAATTTTTTTGAAAGAATACACAGTTCATTTTATTTAACCATGGAAAGCATAATAAGACTAAATAATTTGAAGAATTTAAATGAAATTTCTAAAGAAACTTTTGGACCAAAATCTAGAAGCATTGAAGATTTATTTAAAGAAATTTCTTTAATGTTTCCCAACGATCATCCAATTTTGGATTACCCCAAACCAACAGCGCCGAATGTTATTCCAATCGGTGGTGTTCAAGTTAAACCACCAAAAAAACTTGATAAGGTAACATTAGAAATTTGTTAAAAATATTCTTAACTAATTTAGTGATCTATTTTAGGATTTGCAAAAAATTTTAGACGATTCCAAACAAGGAGTAATTTTCGTATCTTTAGGTTCGAACTTTATACCAAAATATTACGGAAAACATGCTATAAAATCTTTTAAAGAATCGTTCTCAAAACTAAATCAAACCATTCTTTGGAAATTTGACGATGATGATCTTCCTAAAAATGTTATTACTCGAAAATGGTTCTCTCAAACCGATATTTTAGCGCATCCAAACACGAAGCTTTTTATAACTCATTGCGGTGGACTAAGTACGCAAGAAACTATAATTAGGGGTGTTCCAGTTATTGGAATACCGTTATTTTTTGATCAATATAGTCAAGCTGGAAAGATTCAATCGATTAATGGAGGTGTAGTTCTAAAGTATTGGGAATTAACGACCGAGAATGTTTATAATTCCATTATGGAAGTGTTATCTAATCCTGTGTAAGTTATTTTGTTTTTAATAAAAATATTTATTAAATTAGTTTTTGCAGGTACAAAAATAATATGAAACGATTATCTACATTGTATAATGAACAACCAGAAAATCTATTGGAAAAGTTCTTACTTTGGGTTGATTACGTGCTTAAACATGGGCATTTAAATCATTTATCTCTTGGAAGTAGAGAAATGAGATGGTATCAAATAAATAATTGGGACGTTTATGCATTAGGTGTTGGTATATGTTTACTGTTTTATGTTTTGTTTAACAAGTTAAGTTTTGTAATTTTGAAAATGAATACAACGGAGAGAAAAGAGAAAATAAATTGATCTACAAAGGAACCACAAATCTTACATTTTATCATGCTGTCTATTAATCCATCCAATTATTAAAAATCATCATTATAAATCTCATATAAATATAAAATCATTATAAATGGTTTAATGGAATAGATTTTTGACAATTTCTTCATGTAAATATTAATTTTTTCCCTCATTTTAAAAATAAGTTATGTTATTCTTATCTTATTTTTATTATCTGACACTGCAGATAATAATCAAGTTCAACCCCAGTAGGACTTTTTTCATTGAATACAACTTTATTTATCATTAGCAACCTCATTGTAACAATCCCAATACGATATATCAAATTTCTTGTTGCAGTTTCGTCTAGTTTCCTTCTCTTCGCTTATAATTCATCATCACATTCATTACTAAAAGGGCCCATACACCTGCGAACAAATTGCACAACAGAGGCTGTTGTGCAAAAATTGTATGGTGTATGGTGTTGTTCAACGTGATGCGCAACAAGTTGTAGAAATTCAAAATTGTTTGAAATTAATTGCGNTAAAAATATTTATTAAATTAGTTTTTGCAGGTACAAAAATAATATGAAACGATTATCTACATTGTATAATGAACAACCAGAAAATCAATTGGAAAAGTTTTTACTTTGGGTTGATTACGTGCTTAAACATGGGCATTTAAATCATTTATCTCTTGGAAGTAGAGAAATGAGATGGTATCAAGTAAATAATTGGGACGTTTATGCATTTGGTGTTGGTGTATGTTTATTGTTTTATATTTTGTTTAACAAATTAAGCTGTGTAATTTTGAAAATGAATACAACAGAGAGAAAAGAGAAAATAAATTGATCTACAAATCTTACATTTTCTTATACTGTCTATTAATCCATCCAATCCCTAAATTGTACCTCTGCTTCTCCTAACTCTATACTGAGCCGCCGCTAACCAACCCTTACTCTAAACGAAATCTATCAATCCAGCCGGAATAACCCTGCCCAAAGCTTCACCTACCACCAAAGATATATAGGCTTTAGCAACCAAATCATTTTGGGTATCTTCCTCACTTCCCGATTAATTACATCCATCAAATACCTATGAATCATGTCTAACCATTCCTTCCTAGGAGAGATATTCCACGTCTTTTCCGCAACGACCACAAACATCCAACCTCACTCTGGGTCTTCAACATCCTATCCCACTTCATTCCTTGTACACTCGCCCATCCACATGGTCACATTCCTCCTTAATCTCTCCTTCTTCTCGATATTAATTGTTGATCTTGTCGTGGCTGTCCAAGTCGTTAGGGACACACCTCCGGGATTAGTGAAGATGATATCAAAAAAGATGCTAAAAAAACGCAACATAAATTGGTAAAGATGATGTCAAAATTGATACTAGAGAAGGTAAGACAGAAATATCCAAAGATTATGTCAAAAACGAAATCATGGGTGATGTCAAGATTGATGTTAAAGACGATGAGACTAAGGTTACCAAAGAAGAAATCAACAAACTTGATATCAAAAAGGATGCTAATGAAGATGTAACAGAAATTACCAAAACAGATATCGTGGAAGATGTCAAAGAAGATGGCAAAGAAATTAGCAAAGATGACAACGAAAAGGAAGTCAACGATGTTAAAAGCGATACCAAAGAAAAGGAGACAAGAGTTAGTAAAATGTAAAATAGTGGTAAAATGGATGTCAAGGAAGATGACCAAAAAGATACCGAAAAAGATGTGATGAAAGATGTCAGACTTGTTGCTGCTCTTATTCATATACAGTATGTCCGTAAAGTAGCGAATATAGGTGAAAAATCATTATAAATGGTTTTATGGAATAAAGTTTTTGCAATTTATTGATGTAGATTTTAATGTTTAACGTTTAAAAATGCCGAAAAAAAAATTAAAATCAACACCAAAAGATTGCAACAAATTTAAATCTTTAGACCCGTTTCAGGGATTTTTCCATAAACAGTTTATAACGATTTTATTCTGCTACTTTACGGATAAAGTGTATAAGCAGACAATTACCCTTATTAATTGGAACTCTCCTAAATGTGGTCCCATTTGAAGTTCCTGATCGATAGCCTCACATAAACGATTTTAAAATTGATCTTGTACGGGCAATGCTTGTTGCGGAAGAGGACTTTATGAATTTACCAGAATGTCTTACGGTTTAAGAAATTCTGCTCAAACATTCCAACTATTATTATGAAAGATAGAAAGTTGCGGCTTTCGCGAACCTGGGCTACTTTTTTGTGAAACTTACAATGGCGCAAACCAAATTTTCATAGCCCTCTTCGTTTTTGATATACAGGGAGTGTTTCAAAATTTACGATTTTCAGACACCTCCTGTATACTCCTGTATACATTTTATCTTAATCAACTTTTGTTGTACATTGCTCAGAAAGGCCACTTTACCTGCAACGGTTAACAAACTTCTTGCGTTAACTTTGGTACTTTCAGAATATTTGACGTAAAACTTGGTTATATTTCGTTTTATGACATCCAGACTTTAATTGCAAAAGATGGAATTTGAATTCAAAAATTTATCGTCAATTATACCTTACGGGGACACAATCCGGAGACACACTGTATACAGGCTTACAGTGATCGAACGTTTTACGCGTTGGCCTAAAGTTTATCCTGTCAAAAATTACTTTTACAATCGCTATTTTCTACACAATTATTTTTCGAGGTTTGTAACAAATGATCAGGAAAGGCAATTTGAATCCAAACTTTTTCGGCAATACAATAGCCTTTTAGGGACCAACCTAATTCGAACTTCCTCTTACCACCCTAAAGTAATGGTATGTTGGAGAGATTTCATAGAATTCTCAAAACAGCCATTATTGCCCGCGGAGCTGGTAACAGATAGAATAACGATCTGCCCATTATTCTTTTAGGGTTTCGGTGCTCTCTAAAAGAAGATCTTGGTTGCTCTTCTACAATGCTATTGCATGGCATTCCTCGGCAGAAATTGAACCACTCCTTTCTAGTTTACGCCTATTCAACCTATTCCATTATCCTTTCATTCTTCTTCAAAATCGTTTATTCATAAAGATTTATTTAATTCTAATTACATTTTTCTCAAAATTGAAGGTTTGAAACCTACACTTAGTGTACTTAGGTTACTTGCAATGTATCAACCTTCAAATCTGCATTCTTAAAACAAGAAACGCAATTGCCGTCATTCTTAACCCTTCAATTATATCAATCATTACACGATCCTACTATTTTCTGAAAATTCAGGAATTATGGCAACCTGGAACAACATTGAATTCCAGATTTTTGTTTAGGAACTGAATATTTTAATTTTATTTTTAGTACTAAATTTGCAATTTGTTTTCAGGAACCAGAAACTGCGACATGTTAGTAGTATCCTAGAACATTCAAATAGGGTTTATAATTATAATAAATTACTAATGGCATACACTAATGGCATTATATGTTATGTTAGTGCAATATTTTTAAAAGTAAATGTAGAATTGACTTTTCAAGAAGTAGAAACTGTATCACTCTGAAACCTAAATAAGTCCAAAACTTACAATTAAAGTTCAATTGATATATTGATTAGTTATCTGGTAAACTATAATTATATGAATCTGATGCAGATTCGAATATCTTTATCACTCTCTTAACTCACTATATTGCATCATTTTTAGATATATGTATATGCCGGAATTGTGAAAGATTTTTGGAATATCACTAAAATACAAATAAAAACAAAAATAAACTCTTTATTTATTCGGATTTATTATTACTTAAAGCATACAAACAATCAGTTTCATATTGTATTTCACTTAACTCATTTCGAAACTCTAAAATATCATGTACTTTTTTATCTTCTTTTCCATTCGAAAAATATTTTTTAATTATTGAAATCTCTCGACGTAAAGCTTCCGTTAAAGAATCATCTTCTAATTCTAAATTAATAGTTTTCGGCAAGATTTGTATTCCTTGAATATTTTTATAAAAATAATGTAGCAATTGTAATAACACTTCCTCATCTTTACATACAACAACAAATTGAAATTCATTTTCGTTCGTGGTTAACATCTCAATCAATCCACCATTTAAAACTGTTGATATGCCATCGATGTAAAACATTTTTTTGTTATTTTTTAAATTAATCTCTCGAAACATACAATCGATTCCGAAAATCGTAGCTATATCTCTTTGCATAAACGAATTTAATTCGCCTTTTAAATAAAATCGTTCATAACACGAATACAAAATCAATAAGTCTTCGTAATTTCCATTCAAAATTTCGGTTGGTTTTAATTCTAATAAAACATCGGAAAAATCATTCGATTCAATTTTAAATTCAGGGACGTTTATTTGATATTCAACACCGGTAATTTCGTAGATTAGGACAGCGTCAATTTTAAATGAGAGTTGTTTTAAAAAGTTGGGTTTCTCAATCGATAATACCACAATTCCTTCCTCATCAAACCCATTATTCACATCAAAGTTATCTTCATCGATTTTAAAAATGTTTAATTTATAAGTAATCAATGAGGAGGAATCCCAATTTAATAAAATATTCGAAACACGCATTGGTCTAAAAAAAAATAATAAATTAAGATAAGCAATTATTTATCTATTAAGAATTATCTTTTAACATTTTCGATAAAAATCTTTGATAATCTTGTTTGATACACTTTTTTTGATGAGTAATTTTTTCGATTTCGGATTATGAAATTTTTTTTAAAGGCGTAGTTAGTAATCCATTAACGAGTTCGATGTTTTCCTCGTCGATATGCAACGCTACACAACTAAACTCTGACGTTACCAATCAATTAATAATTTAAAGTGGTATAAAGTAGGTCGTTGCATATTAAAACAAGACGGAAGATCTTTAGGATGCATTTTATCGAAACGTTAGTATTAACTTAGTGAGTGAGTGACGGAATGATGTGAGGAATAAAAAGTAAAAGATTTTTTTTAAAGTAAGTAAAAAAAACCTTTTTACAGATAATATAATGTATTTTGAAATTGGATTTTTCATTTTGATTAAATTAAAAGTAGTTGGTAACGCAAATAATTACTTTAGGTTTTTTATGAATGTGAAATAGTAATTATTAAGTTAAATTAGAGCTAAAATGTAGTAGTTTATAAATATTTATTGCAATTGACCTTTTTTAATAATTAATTTGTGTTAAATTAAGCCTAGATGCAAAAGCATCCATAATTTTAAGCTCTAAAGCACAAAAAGGACTATCTTAAACACCATCCTTGCATAGCAGATTATATTTCTAGTCTTGGTTTTTTAATAAACCAAGGATTTTTGTGCAGATTTGATAAAGAAAGTATTTAGCGTTACAATGCGACGACCAGTATGTTTCATTTCATACTGGTTAAGCAATACTTTGTTTAAAAAAGTTTTCAACAATTAATATACACAACAAACCCACAATCAGTGTTGTTGTTAAGCAAATTATATTGAAGTCAGTTTTAAAACCGTTGTTTTACAGAATTATCAGTTGGTTTTTAAGCAGAGCTTTTTAGATAACACACGTAAAAACGTTAAAAATGAAAATAAGTTATCTTAAGAGTTCTAAATATAATGACGTGAGCCGTTGTGTCCAGATCCAATTAATGGCGCTTGCAACGTTGATTTTAGTGGAAAGAAGTGTGTGGAGAAGATTGAGCAAATAAGCAAGTTCGCAACGAACAAAGAACACCACGTTGAATTCGATGGTCTGCTTGCCAAGTTTTAAAAAATTTTAATATACACAAATAGGAAGATAACAAGATCACCATAGTGCTTTATAGCAGTGTTGAGTCATCGGTAATCACGCAGAGAAGTGTACAAAAGATGTAAAAGGGAAGTATTGGCACTGAGAGAAATAGATAAAAAGAGCTAGAGTAGGTGAGATATGTTGTTAATGATAGCGAGATAAGCGACATCTAACGGTAGAAAGGAGAAATTATTACACTGTTAAGTTAGACACAAGACGAAACAAAAATACTGGCCAACTTGGTAAAAACGTATCGTTGTATGTTTTATAAAACAAGTCGTAATAAAATCTTTTAAACAAAACAGTTCAGTGAAACAGTAGTTTCATTTGAGGACCATAAAAGAATCCCAGACTAACAGGTTATGGGCCCAGAACGTAACTAGTGGGTGTTTATGGATAAACAAATAACTGAAAAAACGAAAGAAGTTAGAACAGGAATGGCTGCCGTGAATTTTTTTAGTAACGTGCCAAAATTAAAAGGTAGAATAAACTACGACGAATGGACATTCGCCATACAAAATTTTTTAATATTGAATGGATTGGATAAATGCATATTAGGTACAGAAACTGACGAAGAAAAAATTAAAAAAGCACAACCTAAACTTATTTTCACTCTATGTACATATTAAGGAAGCGAATACGGNAAAAGATTTTTTTTAAAGTAAGTAAAAAAAACCTTTTTACAGATAATATAATGTATTTTGAAATTGGATTTTTCATTTTGATTAAATTAAAAGTACTTAGTTAGTAACGCAAATAATTATCTTAGCTTTATTTATTAACTTAAGTTAAATTAGAGTTAAAATGTAGTAGTTTAAGACAGTACGAAATTAAAACGGGTTTCTAACATTTTGTTATTTAAAAAAAGATGATGCAAAAGCATTTTATGCAAAATCTTGGGCTCTAAAGCTCAAAAAGTACTATCTTAAACACCATCCT